TTTAGAGTTAGTTTCTAGAGATTGAGCTTGTTCTTTTGTTTGGAACATATTCCATTTCTTCATTTTCTTTGAATCTCTGTGTTGGATTCTGTGCATTAGATAAGACAATCCCCTCTCCCAGTCTTGAGAACTGGCTTTGTGCAGGAGATGAACCTCACCAATCAGCCCAATCAAAAATTATAGGTGCCTCTCAAACTTGTGTGTTTATGCAAACTGCTACCTTTATTCTTAGTAGCCCCAAGAGATTAGGATCCACCAAGTGCCATCAGTGCCCCAAGTCAGGTGAGTTAGAGGCCAGTCCCTTGAGATACAGCTGGAATAGTTGGGGATGTTAGATGTGTGTTCCAGTTCCTTCCATCCTCAGGGAGAAGCTGGGAGCTGGAGCTCATCTCCCACTTGATCGACATTAAGCTTGGGAGAGAATCTATGAGAAATGCCTGCATTCTCTTTCAGACTGTATACTCTTTCATCCCATTGCTTTGCTCTTTGTTGCCCCAGGGGCCTAGGAAATGCTGGCTTCCAACTGCTCTCAGAGACAGGTCAGATAGTTGGAGAGGTGGCTCCATCTCTAGTGTGAGCCAGTGGGAGGAATTGTGGAAAGTGACTGCACCACCATTCAGGCTCCCAGAGGACTACTTATTGCATGCCCTGCCAGCTCCCAGATGCAGACTAATGAAAGGCCCAACCCACAGGCAGCAGCTGGGAAAGTTGGGATGTTAAGGTGTACAGTCAAACCCCTTCCAGGGAGAAACTAGGAGCTGGGTGTTTCTGCCTGCTTGCTTTGCACTGAGCTGGGGAAAATAGCTGCTAGAAGTGGTCATGCACCCATTTAAAATCACCTCTTTTGTTCTCTGTGGTCCATAGAACATGTGAATGTAGAATCCTGTCAATTCCCAGAACCAGACGAATTATGAGCTAGTCCTTTGGGTGGAAGCTGTAAAAGTTGGAGTGCCTGATGTGTGGACAAACTCCTCCCAGGGAGAAGCTGGAGGCCTGGCTTTATTTCTGGATGGTGAGGAGAGTAGGTGGTGGGAGAAGGCCAGTGAAGTGTTCACATGCCTGTTCAGGATCCATGAGTTCTATTGTTTGCCCGCCCTGTTGGTTCCCAGATGCAAGCTAGTTAGAAGCCCTATCCCCAGGTAGCAGCCGGGAAAGTGTGTAGACAAATTCCTTTAATGGAGAAACTGGGAACTGGACATTTTTGCCTGCTTGCAAAAATGGACCCTGGGGATAGCCATGGGAGTGGTCACAGATGTATTTAAAACAACCTTTTTATCTCTGGTCTCAGGAGACTCACAAAGTTGAACTCTGTTCACTCCCAGTAAAGGTGACTTAGAAGCCAAACCCTTAAGTGGGAACTATAAAAGTTGGAGAGCTATATGTGTGGCCCACACCCTTCACTCCTCAGGAAGCTAGGATTTGGGGATTTTCTCCCAATTGTAAGATGGTGTGCCTAGGTTTGGGTTTGTGGTGTGTGTGTGTCTTGGCTTTTCCTTTCCCGTTTTCCAGTTGTTGTATTTTGGTTTTGGTTTTTTACAGCTAGTTGGTGTTCCTTTGCCATTTTGATGTGGACATTTTCTCAGTTGCCCAGTGTGTAGGAATCTCTCAACTAGTTTCTGGATTTCTCTCAGAGAGAATTGATCCATATGTAGATGTTTTACTTGGTGCATCCATGGAAGGAGGGAAAGTCAGGAGCTTACTATTATGTCATCCTGCTGATGTCCAATCAGTCAAATGAAACTTATAACAGATATGTAGACCTGGTGGCCAAGTACCTTTTGTTTCATGGTATTCAAGGTATCAGCAGTTTCCCCTCTTGGAATTTCCTGAGCAGTCTATCCTTTAGGTGTAACATCATTCTGCCCACCCTGGGTGTTTGTTCCTCTCCCACTGAGGAGATCTTCTAGGATGGGAACAGCACAGGCAATGATATTATCGGGCTGGCTAACTTCTAAACCCACTGTTTTCTTGCATGCAGTGATAAGAGTTACTTTAATCACTACTACTTTCCTTCTAGAAGGTTCAGGGCACTCATGTAGACCCAAACTGCTCAAATCTCCTCTACTATACTAGCTCAACACAATTCTATTTGAAACACAAACATCACTCTTACTTCCTTTCTTTCAAACATGGATATAGCAATTGTGCATCTTTGCTAATTTAGTCCATTCAATTCTATAGCAAAATTTATCTTTATCCTTGGGAAATTTCTTAAAAGTTTTTTTCTCAACTCCTTACAGTTTCTCTGAGTCTGTTCTGTTACACCGCCTGCATATTTATAACTGACATCACCAATGACTATTCCCCTTTTTCCTCTGTAAGTCTTTCAGCTGCAACAAGCAGTATAAAAGTGACATAGCCATAGAAGTTTCTTTTGTTCACTGCATAATTTTAAGCACTACATCTGCCTGGTTCCTGCCCTCATACAGACAATTAAATCATTAATTACAAGCATGGTAATTGCTATAAGGGGGGTAAAACAAAAGACGTAGGGATGGAGGGGGATGTTCTAGGTAAAAGAAAAAGTATGTGCACAGTTCTTAAGGAAGTAAGGAGTGTGGTATATATGATGAACTGAAAGTGCAATTTTAGGAGGAGAGAAAGAGAAGAAAGAAGAGAACAGCTGGAGTTGAAGCTAACAGGGAAGTGATGGGTTGGAAACACTGAAAATTTTAGATGTTATCCTAAGGACAATGGGAAGCCAGTGGAAGATGTTAAGTTCGATGGTGACACGATCAGATCTGTGAGCTGTGATGGCAGAGAACAAGAGTAACGTGAGAGATATCAGCAGGCTATTTTACTCAGTCTGGGTGAGTACTGTTGTATAAGGGTGGGGACAGTGAAGATAGAGAAAAACAGGTTTGGGTAAAATTTTTGAAGTAGAATCCACAGGACTGGATGATTAGATGAGAAGATGTCTTAGCCTATTCCGACTGCTATAACAAATTACCATACACGGGGTAGCTTATAAACAACAGAAATTTATCTCTCAAAGTTCTAAAGGCTGGGAAGACCAAGATCAAGGAACTGGTAGATTCAGTGTCTGCTGAGGGCTGCTTCATGGATGCCACCTTCTTGCTAGGTCCTCTAATGATGGAAAGTGCTAGCTAGCTCTCAAAAGTCTCCTTTTTGATTTTTGGTGGCTTGCCGGTTCAGGGATCGAACCCTGGACCTTGGTGTTATCAGCACCACCCTCTAATTGAGGGGATAGGGGAGAGGGGAGCCCATCTGCAGTCTCTTTTATAAGAGCACTAATCCCAGTCATTAGGGTTTTACCTTCATAACCTAATCACCGCCTAAAGGCTCCACCTCCTAATAACATCTCCTTGATGGTTAGGATTTAGACATATGAATTAGGGTGGGACGCAAACATTCAAACCATAGCAAAAGGGGAGAATAAAGGAATGTCTGCTGATAGCATGAACAATTGTGTGGAGGCAACACCACACTGGAGGCAAACAGATGAGGGGCTGAAAGCATAAGTCCAGTTCTGGACATGCGTTTTGATGCCTAAGAGATATCCAAAGCACAAGCTCTGGTAGGGACTTGAATATAGAAATATGGGGTGTGGGGGAGAGAAAAAATCTGTGTGAGACATAAAGTCAGGTCTTTGTAGCCATGGAAGTGGGAAAGCTCACTTGGGGAGACCATTTACCCAAGGTGAGCTGAGGATACACTCCAGCTAACCAGAAGCACGTTAGAATTTGGCTGCAGAGCAACCCCAAAAGCCTAAAGGGAGACTGGTGCTGTTTAGAGAGAGAAGATACTCTAACTAGAATGAGTGAGAAGCACAAAGCACCCCTTTCAGCAAGCCAGAGACACACATGCAGAACGCGCCGTAACTTCGCACTGCCAATAATGGGGACAGAGCCGGAAGGTGGCATGGGGCTCCCCTGTCCCAGCGCGGTCAGTGCCTAGAATCACTGGATGGAGATTTGGGTTTGTCCTGGACAGTCACACCCGCGTTGTCCTCCTGCTGGTGTGAAGCCATAGTTCTGAAGAGCCCCTTGGCAAATGCTCACACCCGCTGCCAGGTTTAAGAGGAGACTGCCTAGCAGTCTACGATGGATTGGGGACAGACGCCTGGCCAAACTCTGCCACGGGATCCCCACTGCTCGCCAGCCCCCCCCCCCCCCC